AACTGCATAGAAATATGGTTCAATAGTGACAAACACAACAAAAAGACCCTTTTAAACAGTATATATTTTTATATGAAATACATTTCTAGAAAACATGGTCCTAAATGTTTCTATTTCTTATGAAAGCAAAATCAACCCTTTTTGAGAAATGTTATATTTTATCTTTATATGACTGTATATTAGTTTGATCCTTGTCCATGCAGTTTTTTTTGCGGACTTTACAGATCATATTCTCTTAACCATACAGGACACAGGCAGAATATTCATAGACACTGTGTTATAGGCTGGCATCTTCAGGTAATTGAACATTGGCAAAACTTTCAAGGGCAAGCCCCTAAACACCTACCCTATAACCCTACCACCACACTTAGTCCTCAGTTCTGTTCTGCTGTCATAAGGGAATGGCTCTCTTCTTCTCAGAGAATGCACTCTTAGCCTAATTAGCTCTTTTATGTTATATTCAAGTTCTTCAAGCAACTGACTGCCTTCTAATACCACAAACAGAAGCAGTGCACCTTGATCAGCACAACCTTGAGAGTCATACTTAGACATTTGCTCTTGTACAACAGGCTTGAAGAACTCAATCTTAGAGTCATGATGTGCCCTTAGCACCTAAGCAGGAGCTAAAACTGATCTCTTCATCCAATTCTTGCTCTATTTCAGGCCCACAGCAAGCAGCCTACTGTGACATAGATGCAGAAAATTCTGCTTTTGTCAAACTGCTCTGACAAACTGCTTTATTAAAGCCATCTTTGCCCAAGTTTCAAAAACGCCACTGCTAATCCAGCATCTCCACTTTTTCTGCCCGAGTCAGATCCCAATACAGTTGCAAGAAAAAGTATGTGAACCCCTTGGGATTACGTGGAGTTTTGCATGAATTTGGCATAAAATGTGCTCTGAATGTCATCTAAGTCACAACAATAGAAGAACACAGTCTGCTGAACATAATACTACACAAACCTTAGATGTTGCCATGGTTTAATTGCACATAACATGTAAGCATTCACAGTGCAGGGAGGAAAAAGTATGTGAACCTTTGGACTTAATAACTGGTTGACCCTCCTTTGGCAGCAATAACCTCAACCAAACGTTTCCTGTAGTTGCAGATCAGACCTGCACAACGATCTGGAGTAATTTTGGACCACTCCTCTTCACAAAACTGTTTCAGTGTAGCAATATTCTTGGGATGTCTGGTGTGAATCGCTCTCAAGGTCATGCCACAGCATTTCAATCAGGTTGAGGTCAGGACTCTGACTGGGCCACTCCAGAAGGCGTATTCTGTGCTGTTGCAGCCATTGTTTTGTTGAGTTACTTGTATGCTTTGGGTCATTGTCCTGTTGCATCACCCATCCTCTGCAGAGCTTCAGTTGGCGGACAGATGGTCGTACGTTTTCCTGCAAAATGTCTTGATAAACTCTGGAATTCATTTTCCCATCAATGACAACAATCCGTCCAGGCCCTGAGGCAGCAAAGCAGCCCCAAACCATGATGCTCCCTCTGCCATGTTTTACAGCTGGGATGAGGTTTTGATGTTGGTGTGCTGTGCCTTTTTTTCTCCACACAGTGTTGTGTGTTCTTCCCAAACAACTCAATCTTGGTTTCATCTGTCCACAGTATATTTTGCCAGTAGTGCTGTGGAACATCCAGGTGCTCTTTTGCAAACTTCAAACGTGCTGCAATATTCTTTTTGGACAGCAATGGCTTCCTCCGTGGTGTCCTCCCATGTACTCCATTCTTGTTTAATGTTTTCCTTATTGTAGATGTATCAACAAAAATGTTAGCATGTGCCAGAGATTTCTGTAGGTCTTTAGCTGACACTCTGGGATTCTTCTTTACTTCATGCAGCATTCTGCGCTGTGCTCTTGCAGTCATTTTTACAGGACGACCACGCCTAGGGAGAGTAGCAACAGTGCTAAACTTTCTCCATTTGTAGACAGTCTGTCTTACCGTGGACACATGAACATCAAGGCTTTTGGAGATACTTTTGTAACCCTTTCCAGCTTCATGCAAGTCAACAATTCTTGATCGTAGGTCTTCTGGGAGCTCTTTTCTGCGAGGCATGCTTCACATCAGACAGTGCTTCTTGAAACCAGTAAACCCAAAACAGGTGTGTGTTTTTTTAAGGGCAGGACAGCTGTCAGCAACAAATCCAATATCATCACACTAATTGGAGTCAAGGTTGGCTCACTCCTGGCTCCAATTAGCTCTGGGAGAAGTCATTAAGCTGGAGCCTCACATACTTTTTCCTCCCTGCACTGTGAATGTTTACATGTTATGTGCAATTAAACCATGGCAACATCTAATGTTTGTGTAGTATTATGTTCAGCAGACTGTGTTCTTCTATTGTTGTGACTTAGATGACATTCAGAGCACATTTTATGCCCAATTCATGCAAAACTCCACGTAATCCCAAGGGGTTCACATACTTTTTCTTGCAACTGTATGTCTGCCCTGGACAAGGCAGACACAAAAAAGAATGAAGAATTCAGAGAGACAGTACTGGAGGAAGCTGCAGAAGATTTCTCCCCCTGAATGGCGCTATATTGAAGAGAAAGCTTAATGTAATATGCTTGATAAAGGAAAAGCTCACTGTGGCTTTCCACAAAATCCTTGACATTGTACATTGATTATCCTGTCTCGTCATGCTTCATTGGGTACAAAGAGGTCTACAAAATCTTTCCTATTCAAAACATAGAATATGCAGTCTATGACGATTGGATCGCTACAAATAGGATTTTTACTCCTCCCAAAAATCTCTACCAAACTCTATCCAGTGGAAAAAAAAGATTTGATGAATAAGTGGTGTATTCTGTTGTTGATCCAGGTGTCTCAGTCCTAAATATCTTGCTGTACCTTATTGAAAGAGTTCCTTCTTTTAAAGATTCTGCAAATAGAAAGTTTGAGATCCTCTTTAAGGCTCTCTTTTCTTTGGCAATCCGCAACCTGCTCTAGCTGCAATTTCAGTATGTCAAACTGCAGCTAACTGGACTAGGGCAATGCATAACTAATATGATCCTACTTTTCAGGACTGTGCTTAACAGAGTAATTACAACAGCTACCCTACACTCTACCTTTTTTTAGACGGATGCCCTAGAACATGTCATGAGACATGTTCCTCTGTAAAATCAACCAAAAATTGCCCAAAGGCAGTCAGATTTGCAGAATGCCCTCAACCATCTCTATTTCCTGGAAGCAGTTGTGCCGGTAATCATCGAAAGTCAGGTTCAAATCATTTTATTCGAACCTGTTCACATTACCAAAGGTAATCATCCTGTTCTGCACTTAAAATCCCTCAACAGATATTTTCAAGTTTTACTTGGAATCCACAAGTTCAATAATTGCCTCCCTGAGACAAGGGGAATACGTGGTATCTGTAAGCATCCAGGATGCTTATCTGCATTTTCCCATTTATCCACCTCATCTGTACTATGCTTCACAGTGGCAGGTATTCTTAAAGGGCCCTAACACCTCTTCTTTCCCTTCTCAGAAATCAGGGCATCCAGGTCACAGGCTTTCTAGACAACCTTTGTCTTTAGGACTCCTCTTCCTTTCAGCGGTCAACAAATGCCCACAGGACAATTGAGATGCCCTAGGCTTCTGGTTGGGTGATCAATTTAATCACTTGACCTCTGGAAGGTTTTACTCCCTTCATGACCAGACCATTTTTTTCTATTCATCACTGTACTACCTTAACTGGTAATTGCACAGCTATGCAACATTGCATGCAAATGAAATTTCATTTTTTTTTCACTCAGAGCTTTATTTTGGTGGTATTTGATCACCACTGGGTTTTTTATTTTGCTACATTAAAGACCGTAAATTTTACCTAAACAACCTTTTTTTGAAGCCAATTCTTTAATCTATGTAATTACAGCAAGTGAAGTAGCCAAAACACCTTAAGAATCAACCTTCACTTCATCAAAGTATATTAACCACTTGCCCTCTGGAAGATTTACCCCTCTTTCCTGACCAGGCCATTTTTTGATTAGTTTGCACAAAAGTTATAGCGTCTACAAACTATGGGACATGCACTGGAATTTGAAAAAAAAAAAAATGTTTTAATACTAGTAATGGTGGCAATCAGTGACTTATAGCGGGACTGCGATATTGCAGCGGACATTTTTACACTGACTGACACTTTGTGGGAACCAGTGACACTATGACCGTGATCAGTGCTACAAATATGCACTGATCACTGTATTAATGACACTGGTTGGGAAGGCGTTAACATCTAGGGCTATCAAAGGGTTAAATGTGTGCCTAGCTATGTGCTTGGTGTACAAGAGGTGGTGCTTGTACTAGGGGAAGTGAAGGATTGTGTTCCCAGCTTTGCAGAGACACATGATCCTTCACTTCCCCACCTGTCAGAACAGAGCTCTGCCTTGTTTACATAGGCAGAGCTCTGTTCTTTCTCCTGCCTGATGATCGGCGGGTGCCTGCGAACTTCTATTCACAGGGATTCGCAGATCTGCTTTTGCTGTGAGTGTTCACAGCAGAAGTGAGCCGCTGGTGGCATGCGCGCCCCTATGGTGGAAGTGCAAAATCACATGTATATATACATGAATTTGCACAATAGGGCCACCTTGTAGCAGTAAAACTGCTATAGGATGGTCTTCAAGTGGTTAAATAGACACACAGATTCTTTTCACTAAGGTACCTGCAAGTCTCCATATTGTTGATGTGATGTTTGCTAAGGTAACGGAAGTGAGAGCCTTCTTATAGACAGGAAATCTATCCTCATTTTTTTTAGCCAATTGTTCACACTGCTCACTCCAGACAAAAAGTCAAATGCAAATGAAGACATTTATTAATCAGATATTGTACTAGCAAGTTCATTACCTGGCATACAAGAACTGGATGACATTTTAGAGCCTATTTCTGTTAAAGATTAATTCATGGTTTAAGTATGTGTTAAAAAACAGAGAAAAATCTATGTGTGGTGAATTTACACTATGGGTTACATAATTATTAAGTACAAATATATTACTTACAGAATTTGTTTAGCTTGTGTTTCTTTGCCTCAAATTTTTATCTTTGTGGTTATTTGTAGAGTTACTCTTCCTGAAGGAAAAAAAATAAGAAAATATTATTCAGAATTCATAATTGCACAATTTAAGAGCAACTTAACAGTAACATTTTGCTAGAAGAAAACAAGTGAGCTGGTGAGAGATGTGATATTTGAAGCAAAATACTGTAATCTGACTGGGAAAAACTGCTGCAAAATTGATAATTGTTTGTGGTAATTTTTAAGGTTATAAGCCGATGTTTTATGTTTTTCTACTTAGAAAATAAATGTTATAATTTAACATGCAACTCAAGGGCCACCAATGACAGAGTAGGTTTTCCAAAGACAGCATAGAAGTAATAGTTTGCTTTCAGACTGCCTGTCAATATGAACTCCTCTTCATCATTCAACTACTGTCTGTGTACAAATCTGAGTATAAACGGTTAAGGTCTGAAACAGGCTTTTTCAGTAAAAGGACTGAAACTAGCCAAAACGAGCAAAAATGCTGTTAGTGACCAATAAAAGGAATGTGACCAAAAAAAATACACAAGCATATATAAATTGTTTCCACTTTTAACCCTGCACCCTCTTCTGTATCCACTAAATCCATACATTTTCTGTGCTAGACCCACACTGGCCCTGCTACTTTTTGGCCACCAAGCTGCCTCTCCACCAGGTCCACCGAGAGCAGATTGAGCTGCAGCATATCAAACAGGCAGGATCTGGTGAACAGCCTAGAGCCACAACAGGGTCTCCGATCTGGACCTGATCTCTGCTGTGTTGCTCTGTCCATCACACAAGCACAGGCCTGAGCAGGGCACACCACATAACAGCTGTTCACCACTTGCCCTCCAGAGGATTTACCCCACCCTTCCTGACCAGGCCATTATTTGCAATATGGTGCTGCGTTACTTTAACTGACAATTGTGTGGTCATGCGACACTGTATATAAATGAAATTTATGTCCTTTTATCCCACAAATGGAGATGTCTTTCGGTGGTATTTGATCACCTCTGTTGGTTTTTTTTTTTGCGCAACAAACAAAAAAAAAAACAGACCAACAGTTTTGAAAAAAAATTATATTTTTGATTATTTGCTATAAAACATATCCAGTAAACATTTAAAAATCTAATTTCTTCATAAATTTAGGCCAAAATGTATTCTGCTACATGTCTTTGCTAAAAAAAAATCCCAATACATGTAATTTAATGGGTTTATGTGAAAGTTATAGCATCTATAAATGGTGGTGTATATATACTAGAATTTTTTTTTATACTAGTAATGGCGGCCATCAGCGACTTATAGTGGGATTACGTTGGGCATTCTGACACTGGGGGGAACTAACTGCCACTGACATCCCAATGACAATAACACAGTGATCAGTGCCAATAAAAAGCACTGACACTGTACTAATGCCACTGGGCAGGAAGGGGTTAACATCTGGGGTAGTGCAGAGCAATACAAAGCAGCATGTCCTTGCTGGCAGGAGAGAGACGTGTGTTGTTTACACACAGGTCTCTTCTCTGTCAGCTTTACATGGTGATCGCTGGGTGCTGGCGGGGACTCTCCGGCTGGGACCCGGTGACTGACATCCGTAGCCGCCAATGGCAGCACAGGTAGGGCAGTGCACATGCTCTGTACGCAGAAATGCAAATCACGTATAAATACACAGCCCTGCTGCCCTGTTGCAGTAGTTTTACTACAGGGCAGCAGGCAAGCGGTTAATAATATTCCCCTCCACACAATTTGAGGGAAAGTCTGAACAGGGTGGATATGAGGAACAGCTGCCTGCTAACACGCTGCTTGCCGTAAAAAAAAAAAATGTACACACACGATAAAATAAGTATTGAACGTGTCACCATTTTTCTCAGTAAATATATTTCTAAAACATGCTATTGACATTAAATTTTCACGTCAGTAACAACCCATGCAATCCATACATACAAAGAAACCATAAACAAATAGGTTAAAAAAATTAAGTTACATGTAATTAAATGGAATGACACAGGAAAAAAGTACTGAACACACTAATTGAAATGTATTTAATACCTTGTACAAAATCCTATGTTGGTAATGACAGCTTCAAAACGCTTCCTGTATGGAAAAACTAGTCGCATGCATTGCTCGGGTGTGATTTTGGCTCATACTTCCACACAGTCTTCAAATCTTGAAGGTTCTGTGGGCCTCTTCTATAACCTCTTTTCGTTAGTTCTTTCCATAGATTTTCAATTGGATTCAAGTCAGGTGATTGGCTGGGCCATTCTAGCAGCTTTATTTTCTTTGAAACCAGTTGAGTTTTTCCTTGGCTTTGTGTTTGGGATCATTGTCTTGCTGAAATGTCCACCCTTATTTCACCTTCATCATCCTGGTAGATAGCAGCAGATTTTTATCAAGAATGTCTTGGTACATTTTTCCATTCATCCTTCCTGCAGTGACATGAAGTTTACTGGTACCGTATGCTGAAAAATAGCCCCACACCATAATGTTCCCACCTCCAAACTTCACTGTTGGTATGGTGTTTTTGGGGTGATGTGCAGCACCATTTGACCTCCAAACATGGTGTGTATTATGGTATCCAAAGAGATACATTTTGGTCTCAACTGACCAGGCTATATTCTCCCAGTATTTCACAGGCTTGTCCAAATGTTTTATATGAGCTTCAACATACTTTTTCTTAAGCAATGGAGTCTTGCATGGTGAGCGTGCATACACACCATGGCAGTTGAGTGCTTATTGTTTTCTTTGAAACAATTGTACCTGCTAATTCCAGGTCTTTCGGAAGTGCTCCACAAGTGGGGCTTGGCTCTTGGAGAACACTTCTGATAATTCTTTTCAATCCTCTGTCACAAATCTTGTGAGGAGTACCTGGCCATGGCCAGTTTATGGTGAAATTATGTTCTACTTCCGGATTATGGCCCAAACAGTGCTCACGAGAACATTCAGATATCTAGAAATCCTTCTGTAACCAATGCCATCAGTATGTTTGTTGTTAAGAATGTGAAGATCTTGAGAGAGCGCTTTGCTTTTATCCATCATGAGATGTTTCTTGTGACACACCTTGGTAATAAGACACCTTTTTATAGGCCATCAGTTGAGACTGAACCAGCTGTTATTAATTTGCATTGACAAGTGGCAAGATTGCTTTCCAATTAGTGATAGATTTTAGGAGGTGTCTTGGCTTTTTGCACCTCCCTTTCTGCATGTGTTCAATACTTTTTCCCCCGTGCATTTCCATTTTATTACACATAACTTAATTTCTGAACATATTTGTTTTGGTTTCTTTGTATGTATGGATTGCATGGGTTAACGGCATGTGGTGAAAATGTAATGTCTACAGCACCTTCAGAAATATATTTACAGAGAAAAATGGTGGTGAATGATGTTCAATAAAATGCTTTAGGCATGAATGGTTATGGCTGAAGGCAGAGAACATTTTTCAGGTATACACGTCTACTTACATTGGTCCAGCTGGTTCATCATCTGAAGCACCCCCCAGCGATCATAAGGGAAATAAAAAGAGAAAAAAATTAATTAAAATTAACAGCAGATCTTCGTAGAACTCATAACTACAGTGACTGCAGCTCACTGTTTGGATGCTTGACAGTCACTTGAGGCAACTTGAATCTTTGTACTAAATGGTTGATTATGTTCTTTAAGATGAAGCATAAGTTTGATATCGGCCATGAAGGACTGCAACTGTAGTGGACAGATTGTTGAGATTTCATTGAAACCATCTTGTCCCCTAGTTCCAGTGGTTCACTCAGAGGATTAATGACAAGACAAACCCAACATTTCAGTTGTAAAATCCTGCTGGTTGTTTTCTTACAGTGGGGTAACGGGTAAGTTAGTGATGACAGCAGATGTCTTCCTTCACCAGACTCTACACTGTGCATTATTCAAACTCTAAACTATTGACAGAAGTTTGATCTCTTCCTAACACAATCATGGACTGAGCAAATAGAAAAAGCATGAACATCCTCTTCCCCCGCCAGACTTCAGCTACAAGGTCACATAGAGCTTTACTATGTGCAGTGGCCAAATTGACTGGACCCATATCTTTCTAGAATGTTTAACATATTCATTTATTATTTTTCCTTAAAGAGATCATGCCCACAAACAGGTGTGACAAATTGAGGGATTTTCACTGAAGTCTTGAAGAAAAATTTGCAGCAGGATTCCACAAGGAGACTAGTGCACATGAAGCAAAAGGATGGAGAAAAGTTACAGTCTTTGAACGTGTGTTGGCACCTGCATGAGCACAATCAGGGAGTAATATGATCATATGATCCCTATTACTTCCTCTCTACCTGCTGGCAGCGCATGAACAAAGTCAACAGGTAGCCAAAAAATAATATCTCTGGGGAAAATTAAATACAAAAAGAGAAATAAAACAAAAACAAAGCAAGAGTAGAAATAAAGGAAAAACAAACTGTGCACAGTCAACAAGCTTTTGTCCACAGACGTCTGGTAAACTGGCAAAATGCATTTTGAAATGGGACAGATAAGTCAGACTGGGGAGGGCTACAGCGTGCTATATTAATGGACAGGAGCGCTACATTTACACAGAGGGCCTGAGAGACACAGCAACCAATTCCCTAGACAGACACACGCACGCACAAATGCAAAACCAAACCATTCACTTGCAGGAAAACATGTTTCCCAGTAGGATTGAAAAGGGTAAAATCTGACATGTATATGCCACAGTAGCTTGTCAGTGGTACTGTATTGTTTACCAATGTACATAAATGAGTTTCTTATGTTAGCACCTCATCTAATATTAAATGCTAAAGCATTCTCTAGCTCCATCTAGTGTCCCCACACTGATTCAGCTCCAGTTTACAGGAAAATGGGGGGGCAGGGGGGGGGGGAATCCACGTAAACAGTCCTATTTGGCTTATACTACAAAATAAAAAAAAAAAAAACAACCTTAAATCTATAACATTTTTTGTGCATGAAGCAGAAATTTTAAGTTTTAAACTAAGTTTTGCAAAAGTTGTGAAAGGGCTCCATACCATACAATATATTGCATTCCATGCATATGGCACCCTAAAATCTATACAGTGGGTGGAACATTACACTACTAGACTCTTTTTAAGGGCCCATATTCAGTGTAACATTTTTTAAAAGGAGATAAAAGCTACAGGCTGCATTTGCTGAACTAAGGGGACTATAACATTCGGTACATTGGTACAATCTTTTCTTTGCAGTATCTGTACAGTGTTTTTCCCCAAAATGCAGGTAAACTCAAACATCAAGAACAAGCCCTATGAACAAGGGTTTTATCGTACATACAGTGATGTGCAGTGTATCTGAAAATATGCTTCCGTTCATCCAATGATTTTGAATATAATAGTCCCCTTTAGTTAGCTGTGGATATGAACTGCAAAGGGCACCTAATATTTATCCGACTGCCTGCCTACATGGCTCTGCCCAAACTACAAAGTACAGACTGAACAGAATCTTGCTTGAGTACAACATTTGAAACACTGCAACCAATCAACAATTTGATTTTGTCTACAGCCCATTAAACTTTAAACTAACTGGCCCATAGATATATATATATGCCCTAGCGTACAGATAACTGGAAGGTTGCAGCTTCATATAAACCTTTAACAGCAAACCAGATTGTTCTTAGAAATTAAACTCAATATAATGATAAAACCCTATACTTCAAGTGAAAAAATCCTCACCTACATATTACAAATTGCATCCTAAAAATCCAAACCGTTGTTAGCCAACTTGGAAAAGAACTGGAAATTTATATTTCTATCAGAAATCTGAGGAGTTTCTCAGCAATAGCGCTCAAGCTCCCTCTGCAGTTGTACTGTAAGAAATGTCATCATGGGGTAATGAAAGGCTTGAGAATTATTTGTCACAGAGAAGAATCCCTGCAGTGTTTTATAAAGTCATTGAGGACTTAAAGTGGTGTTAAACCCAAAAGCAGACATTATATTGCAGCTTACCAGCTCTTAGATGTGATGGCTGTATTACTTTTCTTTTTTTTAGACTTTATTTTCATTTTGTTTTTCACCTGGTGATCCAGTCAGTCTTTTTTTTTTTTTTTTTTTAAATAGAACCAGCTGACCTGCAGATGTAGCAGTTGGAGGATTGGGACAAACTTTTTTTTTTTTTACAGGGGTGGTTACAATGGTAAGCTTTTATTTATGTAGAATCTTTTCCTAAAAGAAAAAGAAACTATTGCTATAACTGAAGCCAAACTCCAGCTAACACCTTTAATAAGCAATTTGTTAGTCAGGTCCATCTAAATCTGCTAGTACATCTAACACTCCCCTAGCCCCAGATTAACAATGCTACTGTCCAAAAGGTGTCTCTGTTGCTCCTTCACCCAAAGAGCAGGCACTCTAATTCAGAAGTGTGTAACTTGCTGGATCACTAGATGAAAACAAAGGGGAAAAAGCACCAAAAAAAAAAAAAAAATGAATGCAGCCACTACATCTAAGGACTGGTAACCTGCAATAGGTTAGATTTTTGGTTTTGGGCTTAAACACCGCTATAAAACTGGAATGAGAAAATATTTGTCAAAAGGTGTACAGCTACGTTTTGCCATTTTTGTGATTCTGCACTAACTATTTTACTGACCCAGTACCATAACAAGGACATAACAGGCCAAGAACCCACCTAAATTGAGGACACAGATAGGGGCAGGCAGTGAGTAAGGGAGATTACAAAAAAACCTGCTTTTTTGTTTTTATTAAAACATAGCGAAGGAGAAACAAACAAGAAAACCAAAATAAACTGAAAATTAGTTGTGAAAGTGGATGAGGGAAACTCCAAGTGTTAACATCATGGGCTTGAGCAATCCCAACAACGGAAGCGAGATTAAACAAACTGGAAAAGCATGCAAAACTCGCACTTACCACCATAATATTTAGGGTTTGATGCAATTGAAGGGGGGGAAAAAAAAAGTCACAGTAACCGACAAGAATCATTAGAGAAGCTGCCTCCCTGGATTCCCCCCTCCCAACCAACAAAGTAAAGAAAACTTAAAAAGAAAAACACTTTGGGAGAAAAGAAATGGAGTGATTGATCCAATCTGTGTCGCTGAGAAAGGAGGCAAGCAAAATGTGAAGCGGATAGAAAGCAATGGTGAATGGAAGAGCAGGTTTATTCAGGCAGTGCCCAGGTAAACCAGCAGGATACACTGAACTGCCAATAAAAGGGAACCCTTTTCAAATGGCAGACAAAGCTGCAGTGCATCATGCTGGAAAACTATGCTTGAAGAGAGAATCCTAGCACACACACCCATGCACACACCAAATATTTCCATGTGAAAAATTGAAGAGTTCAGGCCTCTGGTTAATGATTAAATAACAAAATTACTAGTCCATTAATTAAAATGACTTATACCTTTTAACAGGGAACCAAATACACCAGAGGGGGGAACATAAAGAGAGTTAAACTATACAACTTCAAATTCCACCCAAACAGTTCACACTAGGTATACTGAGCTTTACCTCTCGCAACAGATATGGACAGATTTGGGAAAAGCAAGCTCAGTCTAGGCTAATACAGCCAGTTTAGTAGTTTATACAATTGCTGAGATGGAAATGAAGGCAGTTTGGTTAAAAGTGAAATGTTGAACTCTTTGACTCAATAAGTCAGTTCCCTTTGAATACACCGTCTTACTGAGCAGTCCAGTGACCAACACCCACAAGAAATGTTGAAATAAGCATCACTTCAACATTTCCCTGCAGCTGAATACTTTGCTGCAGAGATGCATAGCTTACTGCATCTAAATAATTGGGCCGCTGAAGCTGGAAGCAATGGCAGAGTTTCAAAAACAAAGAAATCTGTAGCGAAGCAGAATCTGAAACCAGTCAACTAAAACCTATGCAAAAAATGCATGGGTATACAAACAGATTACGTGAAGGGAAAGCTGAGCCAGAGAGAACACACCTCAGTTCATGCTCGAGTATGAAAAGCACTGCTGAATTTCTAGACAAAGGGTGGAGGAGGGAGCAAACTAATCTCATTATAAAAGCAATGCTAATGTTTACATATTGCCAAAACCTGCCGTTAAGTTTATAAAACAAGACAAATAAAAACCTTATTGCATGGAGGTAAAAGCTTTGTCAAAAGCTTGAACAAACTTTCACTGGTACTGACAAAGGAAATACTAGTCTACCCCAAGTTGCCATATGACCATGCAGTCATTTCAACAGTGTGTTTCATGCCCACAGCAAGCTGGCACCAGGGCTCAGATATAAGTGTTTATACAAACCTCAGGACAAAGAACATGACATTAAATTGTTCCTGCAGAGAAGTGTTACTTAAAAGCATATAGGGCACAAACTTACCAGATATACCAGGTAAAGGGAAGAAATGTGTGTGTGACATTGTTAATCACAACAGACACATTCTTTTGAAATTATATACTGTTAATATGGTTCAAATAGGCTTAGAACTAATTCTAAATTAACAGAGCTATGCTGTCAAAAAGCAGGAGTGTAGTCCACACAAAGCAGTCCTAGATTTTAAACCTCTTCTACAAAGGCTACATTTGACTGCTTTAGGTAGACTTTTTTCTTCCAGGTACATATATCTCTGAGGGTGACGCTTTTACTGCAGCACATGCTGTCAAGGAAGCATAGCTGGGGACTGCTTATGATGTTGGTATCCATGGATGTATGCACAAGTATTAAAAACAACATTAACATTTAGACTTAAACAGCTTACCATAGTTTTCTTTGTGGAAGACAAATGGTTTATAAGAGACATTGCAAAGAGAACTTTAAGTTGCACTAAATAGCAATACTTGAACTGGCATTAACTGCATTTGAAAGTCTTTAATGACACTACATACGCCAGTAGAACTGTAGAAGTCTTCTTTTGTTTGGTTATATAGCATAGCTAGATAAAGATGTGCTACTATGTAGTAGCATATCGTATACAGTACATATTGGCAGAGATGGCGCGGATGTTTCCTTTTAACCTAAGGTCTTACCAACCCTGGTTTCTGAGTGAAAGGGGATGCCATCCAAATCACTGCAAAATATCTTTTCATGCTTGTTTACTGAACAAATTGAATATTCTTTCTTAAAGATGCCTAAGTAGTATACAACAGAGGAGTCTGCTATAGCAACCCCTGGCAAAAAGTATTGAATCACCACTCTTGGAAAATGTTCATTCAATTATAATTGTGTAGAAAAAAGAAAAAAAAAATCACAGACATGTCTCCAAAAACTATTTTTATTTATCATCCAACCTTCTGGCTTTAAGACACACTTAAAAAAAATGAAAAAGAAAGAAAAAACTGCAGTCAATTGCAATTGTTTTTGCAGATCAGGCAGAGAAAAAAAATATGGAATCACTCAATTCTGAGGAAAATATTATGGAATCACCATGTACTTTACAGTTCTAGAACAAACAGCTGCTAATTAGTCTGCAGTGAAAAAAAAAAACCTGGATGTCCCCCCAAAAAAATTTGTTTTTTATTTTAAAAAAATTAGTTACACCCCCACATATGTACACACGTGATAGCATGCGCTGGGGTGCCTACGCATGAAAATGACAACTGGAATACACGTTAAAAATCACCGTGCACGCCAGCATGAGAGCAATAATTCTAGCATCAGAAATCCTCTAACGCTAAATGGATGGCCTATAAGAGGCTTTAAAAGCATCACCTATAGAAAAATATAGGGTGCTAACGTTTGTCGCCATTTCACGAGCTCACACAAATTTAAGGTTTGACATGCTGGATATCTATTTACTCGATACAACCTCAACTTTTATATTTTACAAACAAATTGGATAATTTATTGCTTTTTGTGACCTAAAATTAACTTAAGTGTATAAAAAATTGGAACTACCACTAATTGTCTAGGGTCTCTAATTTCAGAAAATATATAATGTTTGTGGGTTTTGTGTAATCTTCAGGCCTGAAATGATTTTTTAACCGTGAGCAAAAAACGCAAATGGTTCTGGCAGCGAAAGGGATAAAGGGTAAGCCCGACACTCCCCTTTCCTGACGAGCACTCAATCGGTGCTCACTGCACTGCAAGGTCTCTCCCCTCCCCGCTAGTCCCCGGGTACGGTGCTGGAGACAGGCAGGGAGGGAAGGAAGAGACATACAGTGCAATTTTAATAATATTAAACGTTGAAGTTGCCATAAAGTCCCTCTTGTTTTTGAAAGCCCCAGACATTACTTAAAAGCAGATTTAAATACGGTTTTGGTTAAAAAAAATTTATCAGGACAAGTAGATTGGGACACCGATTTAGACCCTGGACAAATAGTTTTTTCAGAAACTTTCACACCCCTGCAAATAGTCTGGACCTCAATCTAATTGAAAATCTATGGTGGAAATTAAAGAAAATAGTCCATGATAAGACTCCAACCGGCAAAGCTGATCTGGCAATAAGAGAAAGTTGGAGCCAGATTGATGAAGAATATGGTTTCATGATAGTTAAATCCATGCCTCAGAGAATTCAAGCTGTTATAAAACCCAGAGGTGGTGCAACAAAGTATTAGTGGTCTACTGTAGTGTTTTTCTTTCATGATTCCATAATATTTTCCTCTGTTTGATCTGCAAAAACAGTTGCAACTGACTACAGTTTTCTCTTTTTATTCTTAAAGTACTTCTTAAAGCCAGAACGTTGTAATGTTAAATGAAAATAATTTTGAGGCATGTCTGTGATTAGTTTTTTCTACACAATTAAACAATTGAATGAACATTTTCCAAGAGTGGTGATTCCATACGTTTTACCAGGGGTTGCAATAGGGCAGATGTTTTTTAAACATCGTTTAGAAAGAAAAATAACTACATTTTGTAATTCAGGCTTTAAAAGCCAAACTTTGTCAACTTTTATTTGCTAGTGGCACATGTACAACCCAGAGCAAATGAATATGGGGACCAGAAGAAAATAAAATCATTTTAAGATAAATCTTAAAATGATAAAAATAATAAACACTAGGCTGTTCTTGGATGAGTAAAAGTGATAATGCAGAAAACATGGATTGGCTGCGAACATGAGTGATTGATGTTATTTTAACAGGCAGCATATTGAAGTCCTCAAATATCATTCTTAATACCGCACCTTATCTTTTAGGCTTTATTAGCCACTGCATGGGAGATGTAAGTTGACCTTCAGTCATAATGGGGTCATCAGAAGCCACTTTTGGCATGGGCTGGGACAGCTGCCCTCCCAGTGCATGTTTCTCTGCCTATAAGTCTCTAACACCTCACATTTCATTCAACCCTATGGGAAATGCCAATACAATGCAACAAGTGTCTAGGATATATGGTAGAATAATAGTAAGAAAAAAACAAAAAAACTACACACTGTGTAGAGATCCTCAAGTATCATGCAGTCAAACATAATTTTGATTGAGTCTCTGCTAAAAGATCTGGTTTCTGTAGTTCAAACTGCATTTTCAGATGTTTTTCCGATTTGGCCCAAACACCTAACCTGTAATGTAGCACAAGATTGAATATATATTAAAATGCCTTTATGCCCCTTCCCCCTCTCTTACCATCTGGAACCTCGTCAGGTCTTTTGCGCTTCTCATACACAACAATGATAACCGCCAAGATGACAATTTCTGCTACAATGCCAAGGAAGGGCCACAAAGGAGCCAGGTGACTGCGCACTCTCAAGATGATGCGGCTTGTAGTGTTGCCAACCGAATTTGAAGCATTACATATGTACACACCAGGGTCCTCGCTGATGTCCAGCTTTGTGATTTTCAGCTCAGTGATGTTTTCTTTGCTGGTGATAGATATACGTCCACTCTCATTATTTAGTAGCTGCAAAATATGAAAACATTTTATTTATTAACAGGTAAAAGATGTTGTGAGAAGTACTAAACAAGTTTAAAAGCATCCACACAAACTTAATCTGTGGAAACAGACAAAAAACTTTAGCCTGCTACTTATTTCTCAGCAAGGCATCAACGTAGCACCTCTCCACTACAAATCCCTAACCCAGGTGTTACGCCTCTCCTCCTGTCCTAGGAATGTACATCAGCACTAGCAGTGCAAATAAGAATGGTAGCAAAGTGCTCACCAACTATGCAGTGTTTCGCAAACTACCAAAATGCTTTGACCAGACTATGTTTATACAGTACTGGCAATTTTATTGTTATGGTTGCCAAACAGATTAAAGTGTTACTAAACCCAGGACCCTGCATTCACTACATCCACTGCATTCACTACATTCGGTCTCCCACAGTACACGGAAATGAATTTATTTTACTAAATATAAACTGCTAAATTCCTTATTAGCAGGTAGAGCAGTCTTGTGACTTCTATCAGTGTCCAGCTGAGCACTGGTTAAAGCTTGTAGGAAGAGTTTTCATTCTAATCTCACTACCTCATAAGATTGAATAACCCCTGGCCCTCTGTCTGGACAGTGCCGACTGACCCTGTGCTGATCACATGCACTATCCTAAGAAAAAGAAAAAAAAGACCCTCTAGCAGTACACACTATACTGAGCATGTGCAGAGTGTCTCCACACAATATATCTTCTCAAGGCTCTGTTCTATCAGCAGATGGATTGGAGACAGTAGAAGGGAAGGATCAGAGAAGGATTAACCCCCTTAAAGTGTTACTAAACCCAGGACCCTGCACTCACTATATCTGTTCTCCCAAAGTACACAGAACATGGAAGTGCAATTATTTTAGTAAATATAAACTGCTAAATACCTTTTCTCATCAGCAGTTAGAGCAGTCTTGTAAATTCTATCAGTGTCCAGCAGAGCACTGGTGAACGCTTGTAGGAGTAGTTTTCTTTCTGCTCTAGGAGGATGCAGAACCCCTGACCTCTGTCTGTACAGTGCTGTTTGGCCCTGTGCTGATCACATGCACTCTCCCAAGAAAAAAAAAAACCTCTCTAGCAATACACTAAACTGAGCTTGTGCAGAATGTCTCCACACAATATGTCTTATAAGGAGAAAAGAGGGGGCACTGGACAAAGGGGAGGATCAGAGAAGTCAGGATCAAAAAGCCTTTTTACACAATGCAGAGGATTAACCACTTAGGTTCCACAGTGAGTATAACAAGCATGCTTTACTGCATATACAGACTGAATTTACTGTTGTGGGTTTAGTAACACCAAGTTTGGATGTTGGACAGTAGATCTGACAAGCACTGAAGAACAGAACTAGTTCACCTGCAACTAAAGAGGAGAAAAAAAAAAAAAAAAACCACACAAAGTTCGTCAATGCTTGCTATTAAAAATCTAGTTCTCTCAAGTAATTGATCAGCTTGGCAGATTACAAAGAGACTGCTTTATTACCAATGGTTTTCAATAAGAAGATCACTTCAATTGGATCTGCACGTTCTCTTAAATTTAGTTGCCGGCCTTTACAAGGAGTCTCACTTTTATTTTTGGATTTTACAGATATTTACATTATCAATGCAGCAGACGTACAATGAGCTACAGCTATTTAGAAAGCAGTTTTATATTTTCTTCAGGCATTTGTCCTTTTATTTTTACCCATTGATTCCACTAGTAGGACTTACTGTCCTAGGGTGACAAAGCTCTGTACTATGAAAAAGCAATTTTACTACCCTAGGAAGAGAGGTAGGCTAGGACTGTAGAACACCTTCCCCTGTCTTCTGAACCATAACATGGGGGTGGTGTTCTGTAGTCCACAGAGGGAGTGGACATATTCCTAACTACAAACCCAATTCCAAAACAGTTGGGACACTAGATAAAAATCTACATAAACAGAATGCAACGATTTGCAAATCTCATAAACACGTATTTTATTCATAATAGAAAATAGCATATCAAATGTTTAAACTGAGAAAATGGATCAGTTTAAGAAAAGAATAAGGACATTTTGAAACTGATGGCAGCAACACATCTTAAAACGTGAGATTAGCATCCCCTCTTCTTTTAACAACACTATAAACATCTGGGAACTGAGACCAGTTGCTGGAGTGTAACAAGAGTGCAGCAGAAAACAAACACTTTCTGGCAGGGAGCAACTTATTTTTTTTCCCTCATCAAAGATATATTATTGAAAATGTTATATTTAACAAACCAAAAAGGGGGCAAAGTCATTTTACGGGTTTACATACACATTACATTTACATCTCAGAATGGCAGTTTTAAACAAACGGTTTGTGGGATCACGAGTGGGTTTTTGGGAAATTCCCTAATAACTTGCAATGGCTATTCACGTTATCTGAATTGAAACTATAGGGCATTTATATTTCCCCTGCATATCAATATATTTTTATATAGCTTCACACATTACTTGCTGTAGTATCCCTCTATTTAGTAAGGCAGGCTACAGAGACAAGAGCTCTTAGACAAACCCAGTCATTGCTCCCACCTACTATAATGGTTATATACTGTATATCCATTTACTACAGATCTACCCACCTCCCCCCAAAACGCCAAGTTGGCAGGGCAATATAGAACCACTGGGGACAGTAATTGGCTGTTACTTGCTTACATGAGCTTTAACCACTTCCCGTCTGGCCGTTGTATATAAACGGCCGGACGGTGGCAGTGCAGGGTCGGGTGGCCATTTATAAACAGCCTCCCCGCCCCCTGCTTCTGCGTGCTCCCTGGGAGCGCGCAACACCGCGAACACAGTGCAACTCCAATCGTCGGACGGGACCTCTGTGCGAGGTCCCGATCAAGTGATCACTGCTTGGCCAATCAGTGATCACATGCAGAGTAGTAAGCAAGATGTCACTTCTGACATCATTGCTTACTACGTGTGAAATCTGTGAATGATCACAGGAGGTCACATGGTACAAGGCTATTCACAACAGCCTTGTACCATGTGACAAGCTGTGACCAATCACAGCTCACACAGTAGTTCTCAATGGCTGCAAGAATGCAGCCAGAGAGAAGGAGAAATGATTGCTTTTACAGCCTTTATGGGTATAACAGCAATCAGTGTAAAAAAAAATAAATCATCACCCCCCACAAGTAGTACAGTGTCACCATGGTGACACTGTACTGCTAGGGTGACAGTATGTAAAAAAACAAAAAACAAAACAAATAATATAAGAAAATAAAATAAAAATGTAAAAAAAAAAAGTTTAAAAATTATAATGTTTGGTTATAAACTAATTTGGGTTATTTTTTTTTACTAAAAATATAACGGAATAAATTTTGGCCAAGATTTATGATGAAATACTATTTGCAAAATTTTATAAGAAAAACACTTTTTTTTCAAAATTTTTGGACATTTTCATTTACATAGCAAAAAAAATAAAAATCCCAGTGGTGAATAAATACCACCAAAATAAAGCTTTATCTGTCACAAAAAAATGCTAAAAAATTCATATGGGTACAGTGTTGCATGACCGTACAACTGTCATTCAAAGTGTGATAGCACTGAAAGCTGAAAATTGGCCTGGACAGGAAGGGGATAAAAGTTTGTTTCTCTTTTCTCATTATATTGGTTGCTATTTGTATCCACTCACGTTTACTTGGACTTTTTTCCGCCCTTCACCCCTTGTGCCCCATTCCATTGGACCACCTGATTTCCCATTGGAGACATGGCAAACATTTCATCTTAGTCACAGTCATCCTCACTGTCAAGACCAAAAATGTACTTATCCACAAAAACAGGGCACTATGGCATGAAGTTCACATTATGACAATGTCAGTAGTCTCTCTTCCAGGCCTGATCTGGGGAGGCTCTCACTAGCAAACCAATGCAAAGCAGCGCACACCCGAAACCCGGAAGTAGGCCACAACGTATGGGTAAGTCGCTTTACCTGCAGCGGCTGCCCGTCCGCAATACTTTGTGAGTGGGCGAGAAGTGGTTAAGCAGCAGAAAAAGAAAACCTTAATATGTGAAACATTCTATAAAATAAACATTTTATGAATAAAGCTTCCACAAGGTTAACTCGTAAACTCAAAGCAGACAATGCCTCTAGGTCTACACACTCCATTAACCCATTCCTACCCACCGTATCTTTAACTGGGCTTGTACGCTTGGGTGGATGAGAAGATCTGCAAAGTCATGTGTTCACGGTGATTGGCTGTCATGATGGTCAAAGGATCATGAGCTGGTCTCACCAGTTCCCAACTATTTGTACAGACTAAAGACACTATCAGCACAGAAGCCTCTGCTGCCCATAAACACATACACTATATTGCCAAAAGTATTGGGGTGCCTGCCTTTATATGCACATGAACCAATGGCATCCCAGTCTTAGTCCGTAGGGTTAAATATTACGTTGGCCCACCCTTTGCAGCTTGGGAAGGCTGTCCTCAAGGTTTAGCAGTGAATCTATGGGAATGTTTGACCATTCTTCCAGAAACGCATTTGTGAGGTCAGGCACCTATGTCGGACCAGAAGGCTTGGCTTGCAGTCTCCGCTCTAAATTATCCTAAAGGTGTTCTTTTGGGTTGAGGTCAGGACTCTGTGCAGGCCAGTCAAGTTCCTTCACCCCAAACTCTCTCATCCATGTCTTTATAGACCTTTGTGCACTGGTGTGCAGTCATGTTGGAACAGGCAGGGGCCATCCTCAAACTGTTCCTACAAAGCTGGGAGCATGAAATTCTCCAAAAGAGTTCCCTCCACTGGCACTTAAAGGGCCAAGCCCAACCCCTGAAAAAAAAACTCCACACCATAATCCCCCTCCACCAAACTTCACACTTGGCATAATGCAGTCAGGCAAGTACCGTTCTGGCAACCACCAAACCCAGAGACATCCATCGGATTGCCAGACAGAAACGTGATTCATCACTCTAGAGAACAAGCTTCCACTGCTCTAGAGTCCAGTGGCAGCGTGCTTTACACCTCTGCATTGCACTTGGTGATGTAAG